TGTTCTGTAATATTCCAACTACCTAAGTCTTTATCTAATAATAAAGTGAGTACTACTTCTGGTCGTACGTCATCGTCAATTTTGCAAAAAAAAAAGTCCCTCTATTTCTGAGAATTCAATCCCGCAGTCCTATTTAAAGTGGAAAAGACGGTTTGTTTTTCAGAAAACCCTCTGGTCTTTTAGTTAATCAACCAGCGGTCCTAAATTTAAGTGAAAAAAGATTCATTTTCTCAGAAAACCCCTTGGTCTTTTACTTAATCAGCCGACATCTATTATTATTTTTTGGATAGGTTCAAATGCTTTTTTTAAATATCCATATCTTTTAAACCCTAGCTCCAATTTTGACATGTCATATATGAAAATTGATTAGAAACATGTATAGAATCCAAATATGATGTAATTTTCCCTCTTAAATATTGAAAAAATGTGATTCAAATGCTTTTTTAAAATATAACTTCAATTTTGACATTTTATATGTGGAAATTGATTAGAAAAATGTGTAGAATCTGAATATGATGTTATTTTACATGTCATTTTATTTTAAATGCTATTTAGAGGACAATATTAATAAATAGCGCATGATCCATCTTTCTTTTGTACATGTGTAGACCGGGGTTAGAAATCAACACCTCGGCTAAATTAGTTTGGAGAAGAAAGAAACCATCTATAACCACAGCATGTACGACTCGGTAAAACTTCTAGGAGAGAAAAGGTAGATTGCTAATCTTATGCGGAGAGAAAGAGAGACACCTTAGAATTGGCCACATTCAAACGAGTTGTGATTGTGAGCATTGAGGCTGTCGTCGACAATGGTGGGAAGGAGGGCAAGCGGCTACATAGATGGGATGCACGTGGACCCATTGAGGTCTTCAGTCATGGTTATTCTATTAGGGACATGTGGTATATATTTTTTCGTTGCACCGCACGGGAATGACAAAGGGGCTATTGCTACCGGCGGTGCGTCACCGAAATTGCCCCCCCAAAGTTACAAAATATTACCCACCGATGCTACTTATAACTGATAAAAAAATGTTTCACACATCAGAATCCCCACCTGGGCCGGCCCATGCAGTAGAAACCTTCTATACAGCGCTTTGCACGCTGGGAGACGACACAACGCGCCAGTTTGGGCCGGCCCATGTCCAGGCCACCTATTTTTATATTTTTTTCGTTCACTTTAAATAATTTAGGACTTGAAAAAAAAGTTCCAAACCTAAAAAAAATAGAATTTTGTAAAAACATGTTTAATAATTAATCAATATTTGTGGATTGAGAAAATGTTCGTGATTTTTAAAAATTGTTCGCAAATTGAAAAAATGTTCGCAATTTTGAACAAATGTTAGAGAAGTCAAGTAATATTCATGATTTTTAAAAGAGTACATGTACTAAAAAATATTAATGAAATAGAACAAAATTTCACCAATTCAAAAAAGTTCATGAATTGAAAAATATCCTAAGAATTTAAACAAGTTCGTGACTTACAAATTACTGGGACGGAGAGAGTAGTTTATTGATTCATAAAATGTTCACAATTTTAATTTTTCTTGTAAATAGTATAAATTGATCGTGAATTAAAAAATATTCATGATTTTAGAAAATGTCTGAAATCTGTAAATATGTTCACGAAATTGGAGAATGTTCAGTTTTAAAAAAATGTTCGTGATTTTAAAAAATTGTTCACGATGTGACGAAAATGAGAATGATAGTGTATGTAGGTGATGCAGAAAAATGTGGTCATGGCCATCGGAGATTATGTTTTTTTTTTCCGTTGCAACGCACGAGCCGTTTTGCTAGTAAACTATAATATTCCAGCTAATATATTTTAGACTTACAACTACTTTGAAAGTACAAATTTCATATAGAAAATTGAGGTGAAATCCTATCCGCATTTGTAATTTTCTAGTGATGTCATATGCTGGTGCAGATTGTTGTGTTGAGTTACCGCAGCTCTCATTTTTCATAAACTTCAGTCATGATCAATCACAGGAAATGCAGATGTACCCAAAATGCATAGATTTCGAATTAGCAAAACTAGGGATCAAAGGATGAACAAATGGATGCGGTGTTAGTGTTACCAGCCATGGATAGAAGGCGGTGGCTCCGTGGCCGACGGTGCAGATGGCAGCGATGTTGCAAGGCCTGCCCACGCAACTCATCTTCTTAAATGCATCGACTGTACAACTGTTGTTTTCACTCAAAAAAGCAATGTATGCTAGAGAGAAATGAGCACTGAGACAGAGAAACACTACACCAACTAGAGAGAAGCAACAACCCGGTGAGCTGTAGTAAATGAGGCACTATTATCAGGACTGAGAACTTGAGAGCTGAAGATCCCTGAGTCAATTTCTGTAATTCTGATCCTTGAATCACCAAGAACTGCCATCGATGCTGGAAGGTCTCCTTAAAGTAGAGAAAGGCAAACAGTAGTGATTGTGGAACTGGACCTAATGGTTGATGTTGCTCAAGTAGTAGTAATTCAGAGAATGAGAGTGCATTTTTGAACGAATAAGGTTGACAGTGAATTCTGGGTACTTGAAAAATACATTATGATATTATAACACTGGAACGAACAAGGAAAGACGACAGGGAAAAGGAAAACGCAAAACCACAATGAACTGAATTAGACCGACAGTTGTACCAAAGAAATGCACGGATTCGAATCGAATTAGCAAACCTGAGAATTGAACAACGACTTGCGTGGCGCCCTTCAACTAAACCTGCCCCCGCCCTGTTTGTCGGACTGCTCCACCACGGCCACCCTCCGTCCCGCGCCACATCGGGGCGTCCCTCCTTTCGCTGCGGCTAAACAAGTGCAGGGAGAGTAGTAAATTTGGACTGGAGCGTTCTTCCAACTAGGGTCGGAGTTACATTGATAGCATTGCACTTCAGATGCACATGGGATATGCCATCTGTGCTTCTATTCATCTAGTGATACTGAAGAAAGAAGCAGCAGAAGAAACTCCACGCAGCATTCCTCTCCGCACCACTATTCGCAGTGTTACACTCTTCAGTCTGCCATAAGCATTTAGGAGGTGTATTTGGTTTTCAGTTCCCCACAAAAGATAAGCACCTGTCATAAACATACAGGGACTCCATATGACAATATGTTTAAAGGTTCTTCAGTCTGCACCAACTAACTTTGTTTTTGAACCGGGCATAACCCCTTTCCATTATATTCATAAATGAAATACAATAGTCTGTCAACTGGGAAGGAAACTAGAAAGGGGAAAGCGAGTTCAAAGCATCACTGGGAAACCCACGGTAAACAACTAACTGATGGATGGAATTTACAGATAGTTTCCACACTACACTGTCAGGTATCTTGGGTACAGAATAAAGTACAGAATAGATGACAACACTTAAGCAAGCGCTCAGCTTCGATTCATGCTGCATTATCAAAGTAATCTCTGGCTTCGATTCATTTCCGGGGCTGCTCACTCCCTTCCAGAAGGATGATCAAAACAGAGCTGAAGGCCTCCCTTCCACCTGATCATATCAAGTTTCAGTTCTATCAGATAAATGGCCATGCATGCACCAGGATGTAATATATCAAAGATTTTCCGTTCCCATGCATAGCAGATATAGCTGCTTAACTTCACTTTGTGTCGTCAGCATGCCATTAAACACCCCGCAAAAGAAAAGCATGCCATTAAACGAACCATCAACTAAAGCACTTGCTGGTACAGACAGGGAAATACACAAGAGTCTCAGTTAATATCTACTGACGTTACTTCCATTAATTCTAAAAAAATGCGGCTGATGCCTTGCTAAGCACATTACTTTATTTTTCTTTCAGCGTTATGTAACTAGTGTATAACCAATGGAGTCCATCGGTACAATGATTCTCACTGACATTAGTGCCATATAAAGAAGGCGAACCAAAGACACGAGAACCGCAAAATTGTTTCATGGAAGGAGTAACAATGCTCTGAAGCAGACAGTGTGAGCACTGAGCAGCAGTACCTAGAATGAAGATGTGCCATCTTCCTCTCCTGTTCTTGTCGGCGCTCCTTGTTCCTTGCCTTCATCCCCTGAGCCTGACGAAACTACTTCATGGTCCTCCTCTGCATCCACTAGGAACAAATGAAGGATGGGATCAACATACATGGATGGAAGGTACAAAACAGATCAAACAAGACTAATTAAGATGAATGAGCAATGCTAAATTACCTCTAGACATGGAAGAGCGACTGACATTTGTCTCCCACTTGTAGGGGTGAGCTGTGTACAAGACATACCATTTCTTCCAGTTATCTCCTTCACGTGCATATGCCTTGACATGCTCAGCATGGCCGAACTTGTTCCACTCAGCGCCAGATTGTCCTGCGGCTATGGAAGTAAGCAGCACTAGGCTGCAGTATAGCTCCAAATGCCTTGGGTTTATACCTCCCATGTATTCTGGGAGTGCCTCCATGTCTTCATCTGTGAGTATGATCCTCTGGAGTAAAGGAACACCCTCCAACACCTTCAGTTTTGGGCAGTCTTGGATGGTAAGCTTCTGCAGACTCGGAAGATTAGTGATCCTCTCCAAGTCAAGGTTTTCATCCAGTTCCAGCAGGACCAGAGATGGAAAGTTCTCTACAGAGATGAGACCCTGGACATAGTATATGATTAACTTATTCAAAGCCCTTGCCTGGGAGGCAAGGCCAGGAGGAAGACACTTCAATTTGCAGTGCTTTAGCATAAGTTTCTGCAAGACATGAAAGGCTTGCAATTGCTCCTCCCACTCCCACTCCTCCCATTCCACCATTCTTGTAAAATCCAACTCATGCAATTTCGGATATGCAGCCACCATCTGGGAAGGACGAGGACTATGTTGATGGTAGGACTGCATGAATTCAGGTCCAACACGCTTGATGGCTGGAGCACGGAGGATCTGAATGTACTCCAAATAGGGGAGCTGACTCAAGCCATCAGGAAGCTTTGTGCAGCAAGCCAGGTCAGTTATGAACAGAATCCTCAAGCTATTGAGGGGCACGTCAGATGATGACATCATCCATTTTGGGAGCCGTAGGCCAAAATATCCGTTGATGCTAAGATATTCTAACCTGGGCGGAGGGCAGAGCTCCTCAAACACCTTCTCGATTTGTTGTTGCTTTTCCTCAGAGACACCATCTTCCTCTTTAATCAGCCCATCATCCCCAAATATACTACCACAGTTTAAGTATAGGTTCGTAAGATGCACCTTGTCGCCAAGCTTTGCCTTTGCTGCAGATGAGGAAGCAGTTATATTCTCCAATCCATCCAATTGAAGTTTCTTGAGCCGAGAAAGAGGACCCAACTCTTCCAAACTGCACCAATCACCATCCATCCAAGCTGGAAACCCAAGCACTATCCTCAAGTTTGTTAGAGCACAAAACCCCCTGGGTATGGCTTTTATACTTGTTCTAGTGAAGTTAAGGTACCTTAGCTGCCCTAACTTTACAATGCTAGGTGGAATTTTCACAATTTGTTGGCATCCATGAAGGCTTGTGTACTGCAATAGTTTCATCTTTCCAATGCTATCTGGCAAACTAGATATATTAGTGTTTTCCAAGGATAAGTACCTCAGGTGCTTGAGTTCATGCATAGATTCCACCAAAGCTACAACATGTGCAGAATATATACATAAAGTTCGTAGACATGGAAAATGAACCAAGGAATCACCAGACTTGATATTTATAAAGCCAACTGATATTAGCACCCTTAGTTTCTTTTGTGCTTGCAAAGAACTCCAGTCTAAACCATTTGATTCTGATCCTTTGCTTTCTAGAGATATATGAAGAAACTCATGAGCACTAAGTTTACTAACAATATTAGTTTCTCCATTGTGAGCTGCTAGTGCCTCATTTCTAGCTACAAACTGAGCAAATGAGCTTACAACATCATGCATGTTGCAGACACACTGATCAACATACTGTGTATTTGGCTCCATAAGATTCCTCAGTATCAGCTCCTTATAGTACTTGCTTCCCAGTTCTTCTAAGTCATCCGAGTTCCCGTGAAGAAATCCTTCACTAACCCACATGCCAATGATTTCATCTCTATAAAACACTGCAGTTTTAGGTAGAAGGGAGTAATGCAGAAAGCATTGTTTGGCACAAGAAGATAGATCTTCATAGCTTAAATATACTGCATGATTTAGCTCTTCAGGCAGTCCAGATATTGACCATATAGAGTCATCGAGAACCATCTCCCACTCATGGTGTCTTTTGTCCTTCTGACACAAGAGCCCTCCCATTACTTTGACAGCAAGAGGCAAACCATCACATTTTGCTACAATCTGCACTCCAATATCCTTGAGCACATCAATTTCACGTTCATCTGCCTCACTTGAGATTATCTGCAAGCAGTTGAACTGATAGGGTAAGTAGCGAGTGGTTTTCCTTGAGAGAGAAAATATTAGTTTGTTAACTGCTAGTGTGACTCAATATTAGTAAATAGTAGGCTAGTGAAGAAAGAGACTCATGAAAGATCGGTTAACGTTACTACCTAAATTGAACTATCAAGTGAATGAGCTGATAAGTGGGGATGTTGCTGTCAACTGGGATGCCTATAGCATGTGAGAGGCTACAATCATTACATGCTCACGCAGACGATGTTATGTTTTTTTTACTGTTTTAACCACAAGGTGCTTAATTTAATCTATCATCTCAGAAACTAAACAGATTATGTGCTTAATTATGCAGATAAATACTACAATACATATACTCATCCTCCAGAAAACAGAGTCATATCTTTTGCGCAGGAAACCAGAATCATATTTGATCTACAGCTACACAAGGGGGGTTGGTTCTTACATGTTTAAATCATCTATAATTCTACATAGGAAATTTTATAATCTGGACATCCAAATAAGTAGAAGAATTTGAAGTACCATCTTTTATTTTTATCCATGTTGGTAGATCATGGAACGAGTTGGCTACACCTATTGGTGGGCCTGGACATGCTGTAGTATCATTCGACCGATTACAACCTTTTCATATTGTGGTATAGTACTGTACCACTTAAGATGGATATATTGATACATCCAGCCAAACACGACTGGATTTTAGCCCAAGGATTGACTTTGTATTTGTGAACATGATGGAAATGGAAGAACAATACCACTGTTTCTCACTTCTTATAAACCGAAGAACATTCATACGATCCTAATTATCGATTTTGTTTGGACTTGCATTTTGGGTGACGACTATGTATATTTCAATAAAATTAGCTTGCTAAAAGGGGAAAATAGTGCCAAAATAAAGGAACATTTTTTACAGAGAGACTATTAATTACTAAGGGGTACAACTATATATTCGGAAAAAGATACATGTGGGAATATATGAAAATTAGTGTTGCTATAGGAGCACAGATGAGCAACTTTCATCAACCTAAATTTGATACCTAGGTCGAACTATTGCACTTTCTGTACACACAATGCACATGCGGCAGGTGCATGTGTGGTGGCATAAATATATACAGTGTCCCTGTTGTATGGGTCCATGTTGTAATCTCAGAGAATTGTACATAAAAGGAGTGTGCCCAATTATTATATCCCCACCCCAAATTAAGCATGGAGCTACTCCCTCCGTTCCGATTTACTCGTCGTGGTTTTAGTTCATTTGAACTAAAACCACGACGAGTAAATCGGAACGGAGGGAGTAGTAATTAATGAAGATACATGGAGTTCAGTTACAAACCTGTTTCTTGAGCAATAACCAGGCATCCTCCTCCTCCAACTTGTCAACATGGTGGTATGGAAGCACAGCTTTCATCCCTCGAGCTACTCTTTCATCTCTAGTAGTGACGAGGACTCGGCTACCTCGAGCCACAACATTAGCCAAGGGTGCTTTAAGCACATCATCCCATGCTCCATGGTTCCAAACATCATCTAGCACCAGGAATAGCTTCTTCCCTTTCAAGGTAGCGGCAAGGATTGGCTGAATCACAGCCAACGCCTTTTCACCACCATGTACTCCCCCGGCTTGCGTGATGATCGTCCTGAGCAACTCAACCTTGTCAAAGTCCTTATTGATGCTCAGCCATATCATCTTCTCGAACTCAGCATTCAAGGCTTCATTGTCAAAGACCTTTTGGGCAAGAGTGGTCTTGCCGATTCCGCCGACACCAACAATCGCGACCACCATGATGTTGGTGTTGCCCTCATTTTCACTTAGCATGATCTCAACCAGCTTTTTTGTATCTTGTTCGATCTTCTCCCCGACTACACCCTGCCGGTCGAACTCCCCTGATGTCTCACGCCTGGCATCACTAGAACGAGCAGCATGCACCTTGCTGCTACGATCCTCATAGGAACCAAGATTGATGAAGCTGAAAGCAGCGCTTCGCTCCTTGATGGCGTCGAGCCTCTTGTTGAGCGCCTTGATGCGGGTGCCGATGTCACGGGCATGGGAGGGATTCCGCATGCAAAAGAGCAAGGGGTTGAAGCACCCACAATCTACTTTGGATGGACCCCGCTCCATGGCCTTGAGCTGGCATAGGTCGAGGATGTCGGCAGCTTCGTACATGGCGCGCTTGAGCTGCGCCACCCACTCTCGCACACTCTCGTCGGTGATGTTTCTCCTATCAGCGTCGGCGAGGAAGTTCTTTAGGTCCCTTAGCTTGACGTCCATCTTGTCGATGTCGTCTCCAACTCCAAGCAGCATGTGCACCTCCTCGCTCACCATCTCGGTGAGCATGTTTTGCACGTATGATGCAAAGGCATCCAGGACCATGGCCATTTTTGCTGTACCGAAGAGGATTATCAACATATCAGCAAAGGCAACTAGTACAGATTAAGCAGAGGATGAGCAATCTGAAACTGAAACTTCTGCAGTAAGAAACTTCCTCTTTAATCAGCCCATCATCTACCAATATACTAGCACAGTTTAAGATTAGGTCGGTAAGATGCACCTTGTCGCCAAGCTTTGCCTTTGCTGCAGATGAAGAAGTTATATTCTCCAATCCATCCAACTGAAGAAGCTTGAGCTGAGAAAGAGGACCCAACTCTTCCAAACTACACCAATCACCATCCACCTGGGCTGGAAACCCAAATACTGTCCTCAAGTCTGTTAGAGCACAAAACCCCCTAGGTATGCCTTTTATACTTGTTGCAACGAAGTTAAGGTACCTTAGTTGCCCTAACTTTACAAAGCTATGCGGAAGTTTCACAAATTGTTTGCATCCTCGGAGGCTAATGTACTGCAATAATTTCATCTTTCCAATGCTATCAGGCAGACTAGATATATCAGTATTCTTTAAGGACAAGTACCTCAGGTGCTTCAGTTCATGCAAAGATTCAAGCAATGCTACAACATGTGCAGAATCTATGTGTAAAGTTCGTAGAGATGGAAAATGAACCAACGAATCACCAGGCTTGATGTTTATACAACCAACTGATATTAGTGCCCTTAGTGTCTTTTGTGCTTGCAAAGAACTCCAGTCTAACCCCTCTGATTCTGATGCTTTGCTTTCTACAGAAAACCGAAGAAACCCATGTCCACCAAGTTTACTAACAATATTAGTTTCTCCACTGTGAGCTACTAGTGCCTCATCTCTAGCCACAAATTGAGCAAATGAGCGTACAACATCATGCATGTTGCAGACACATTGATCAACATACATTGTATTTGGCTCTATAAGATTCCTCAATATCAGCTCCTTATAGTACTTGCTTCCTAGTTCTTCTAAGTCATCCGAGCTCCCGTGAAGAAATCCTTCACTAATCCACATGCCAACGATTTGATGGTTAGCAAAAACTTCAGTTTTAGGGAGAAGGGAATAGTGCAGAAAGCAATGTTTGGCAGAAGAAGATAAATCTTCATAGCTTAAATATACTGCATGGTTTAGCTCTTCGGGTAGTCCAGAGTTCGACCATACAGAATCATCCAGAACCATCTCCCACTCACGGTGTTTTTTGTCCTTCTGACACAAGAGCCCTCCCATTACTTTGACAGCAAGAGGCAAACCATCACATTTTGCTACAATCTGCACTCCAATCTCCTTGAGCATATCAATTTCACGTTCATCTGTCTCACTTAAGATTATCTGCAAGCAGTTGAACTGATAGTCAATAACGAGTGGTTTTCCTTGAGAGAGAAAATAGTAGTAGCTTGTTAACTGCTAGTGTCAACTCAATATTAATCAATACTAGGCTAGTGGAGAAAAGAGACTCGTGAAAGATTTGTCAATGTACTACCTAATTGAACTATCAAGTGAATGAGCAAGATGTTGCTGTCAACTGCGATGCCAATAGCATGTGAGCAACTATAATCCTTACATGCTCATCCAGACAAGATGTTAAGCTTCATCTCAGAAACTAAACAGATGCTTTTTTTTGAACCAGCGGATGCTTAGTTTAATCTATCATCTTAGAAACTAAACAAATCACGTGCTTAATTATGCGGATAGATACTACAATACATATACTCATCCTCAGAAAAACAGTCATATTTTTTGCGGGGAAAACCAGAGTCATATTTGATCTATAATTTATAATTCTACATAGGAATTTTTACAATCTATACATCCAAATAAGTAGAAGAATTAAGTACCAGTTTTTATTTTTACCCATGTTGGCAGATCATGGTGGGCCTGGGCACACTCTAGTATCATTCTGCCGATTACAACCTTTTCATGTTGTGGTATAGTATTGTATCACTTAATGTGAATAAATTGATACGTCCAGCCAAACATGATGGAAATGAAATAAAGATAGCACTGTTTCTCACCACTTATAAATTGAAGGACAATTCTATGATACTAATTATCAATTTTGTTTGGACTTGCATTTTAGATGATGACTACGTATATTTCTAAAAAATTGCTTGCCAAAAAAAGGAAAATAGTTGTTTACAGAGACGCTATTAATTACTCCCAGGTACAACTATATATTAGGAAAAGATACATGTGAGAATATATGAAAATGAGGTCTAGTATTCTTGTGGGAGCATGGTGTCCAAATTTCATGAACCTAAATTTGATAGTCAGGTCAAAATATGTGTTGTGGCATAAGTATATGTAGTATCCTGTTGTATGGGTCCATGTTGTAATCTCAAAAGTATATGTAGTATCCATGTTGCATGGGTCCATATTGCAATCTCAAAGAACGGTGCATAAAAGTGTGTGCCCAATTATTATGTATATATCTGCCCCAAATTAAGTATGCAACTAGTAATATTAAAGATGCATGGAGTTTAGTTACAAACCTGTTTCTTGAGCAATAACCAGGCATCCTCCTCTTGCAACTTGTCGACATGGTGGTATGGAAGCACAGCTTTCATCCCTCGAGCTACTCTTTCATCTCTAGTAGTGACGAGGACTCGGCTACCTCGAGCCAAAACATTAGCCAAGGATGCTTTAAGCACATCATTCCATGCTCCATGGTCCCAAACATCATCTAGCACCAGGAATAGCTTCTTCCCTTTCAAGGTAGCGGCAAGTATTGGCTGAAGCACAGCCAATGCCTTTTCACCACCATGTACTCCCCCAGCTTGCGTGATGATTGTCCTGAGCAACTCAACCTTGTCAAAGTCCTTATTGATGCTCAACCATATCATCTTCTCGAACTCAGCATTCAAGGCTTCATTGTTAAATACCTTCTGGGCAAGAGTGGTCTTGCCGATTCCGCCAACACTAACAACGGCGACCACCATGATGTTGGTGTTGCCCTCCTTTTCACTCAGCATGATCTCAACCAGCTTTCTTGTGTCTTGTTCGATCTTCTCTCCGACTACACCTGACCGGTCAAACACCCCTGATGTCTCGCGTCTCTTATTTCCAGAATGAGAGGGTTGCGCCTTGCTGCTGCGATCTTCATAGGAACCAAGAGGGATGAAGCTAAAAGCAGCGCTTCGCTCCTTGATGACGCTGAGCCTCTTGTTGAGCGCCTTGATGCGGGTGCCAATGTCATGGGCATGGGAGGGATTCCGCATGCAGAAGAGCAAGGGGTTGAAGCACCCCACATCTTTAGTGGACAGACCCTGCTCCATGGCCTTGAGCTGGCAGAGGTCGAGGATGTCGGCAGCTTCATACATGGCACGCTTGAGCTCGGCCACCCACTCTTGCACACTGTTGTCAGTGATATTTCTCCTATCAGCGTCGGCAAGGAAGTTCTTGAGATCCTTAAGCTTAACGTCCATCTTCTCGATCTCGTCTGTGACTCCTAGCAGCATGTGCACCTCTCCGCTCACCATCTCGGTGAGCATATTTTGCACGTAGGATGCAAAAGCATCCAGGACCATCGCCATTTTTGCTGCTTTTTGCTGTACCAAAGATGAACCAACATATCATCTCCACCATTCGTTGTAGCTAATCAAGATTTCCAGAAAAAAAAGACAGGGAAGGGCTGCACTAGAATGCTAACATGAATACATGGTGAACAATTTATAAGCATGAGAAACAACAGAAATAGGCAAACTTGAGGCACCTTTATCGATTGATGTAAGCAAAGCCAGCTAAACAGAGGGGATCCAATATTAACTTCAAGATGGATGGATGTTGGGTCCTGCTGCTCGTACTGGTGAAGATCTAAAACGGATTGAGCACTGCGTATATAAGCCAAAGGGAAATTAGCTCTCCAAACGTAAAAAATGTAGGCAGATAAAGATAACCCTGAGCTTGGTAAGAGATTTACCTGCAATAGGGAGCATGAGCTGAGCGTAGATCGAGAAGCCTTTGCTTGCAGCGATTGCTCTAAAGAAAAGCGCGCCACTCACAGCATTCAGCAAGCGACCAGGGAGCCATGGCTGCTTCTCGTGGAAGTCGCTTGAGCAAACACGTCCCTCTTGCACCCTTGAGATGGGTAGAGAAATATTTATGGTCAATTTTTCCTAATGATGCAGAGCGGCTTGCTGGTAGAGATGGACCTGTGCTCCCTTCAAAAGAAGAGATGGACCTGTATTAGGAGGGATTGGTATGCAGAGTTCATTGAGAGGAGGATGGCTTTGCATTTTACGTTTCTTTACTAGGAGCTGGGTGGGTTATCATCTAGATTCGCGCTAAAGCCGACATCAACAGCCCATAACTCGATATTTAACATTCATCCAACGTTAATTAACCTTAATCCACCTCTAGATCCAAGCTAAAGCCGACATCGACTGGCCATGGCTCGAGATTCAACATTCATCAAGAATTAATTAACTCTAATTTACCTCTAGATCCACGCCGAGTAATGTTAACGAGGCTGCAGCGGCCAGGAAGGAATCTTTGCTCGCCCCACGCATATGCATGTGTGCAAGCCACTCCAGACAACAACGTAGTACGCATTTTGAATGGATTGATTGGTTTTTGAGTAACGGAGCAGGCAGAGGACTCGGAATCGATTCCACACGTCGCGGGTGGGTGTCGATGCGAACCAACAATAAATAAATGAATAAAAACAAATGGAGAAGCCCAGATGCGAGTTGGTGCTGCTCGGTGCTCACCTTGCGCTTGCCGCCGTCGCCGTTGCTTCTCCCGGCGGCGGCTGCAACAGCCTCCTTGTGCTGCGCACCCCATGAATCCGGAGGAGGAGACGGAAGAGGAGGAAGCGGCGAGCGGAAGGGGAGGGGCTGGGGCTGGGGCTTGGGCGAGGAAGCTGGGGCTGGAGAGGATGCGGGGAGGAGCCATCGGATGTGGAGCGCCGGCGGCGGCATAGCAGATGAGGATGGGGATGTGGCGCCGATTTCACTTCGTTCCAGACTTTCAGTCCAAAAGAGAAGAAGGTTTTCTCCCAAAAAAGAATCAGGTTGATAATAAAAGTACATATTTTTATTTCGCTCAACTTTTATTTTAGTCCTTATTAAACTATCGAACTTGCTAAATTAGTCCCGGGACGTGTATATGTTTGGTTTCGGGGGCATTTGCTCTTTTTTAAACACAATACAGACGCAAACGCTCATACATACATACGGACACACACAGACATTTGCTCTTGTGATAAACATAAGGTCTCTAGAAGTACTAGCAAACACTTTTTAAAAAACTGAACCCATTTTATATGTCCATGTTTTAATGCTCAAAGTGTGACACAATTTTCATGCAAACGAAACAATATTCAGGCGTTCAACTTGCTTTTTTGTTACCGGTCAAAATGCTTGGACTTCACCCAAAACGCTTGCGGATAACATTTGGGCATGAATATGTATATGTCTAAATTTTTTTGTTTGACAAAACATTTTTTGCAGGCAGGAGGAGATACACCTGAGAGCTGAATCGGACTTACTTATAAGCCAACTTTGGCTTGCTAAAGTACTCGTCCAATTTTTGTTCCTACAAAAGTTGGCCGAAAAGATGAAAAAAAGGATGGTTTCTGCCAACATGAAACATACTTTTCTTTTCATGAAAAGGCACTCGGATCTATAGACCTAATCACTAGTATAAACATTGCTAAAAAAATAGAGGGAAATACACTGAAATCCTTAGGGCAAACCCTCTTCTTCCTCTTGAACTGGCTGATGCCATGCCACCGCAAGCTGCTCCAACGCTGGAGCCGGCCTCACATTGTTGATCACGGACAAGAAGTCATCAAGGTCACAAAGCTTGTCAGACCAACTCCAACACCGGAGCTAGCCTCACATTTTTCCTATACACATTTTAAAAAAATGTTAATCTTGTATTTGAAAAATGTTAATCAAGCATTTTCAAAATATTTAAATGTGTTTATAGAAAAAATGTTGACCATGTTTTCAAAAAATGTTAATCTTGTATTTGAAAAATCTTAATTAAGAATTTAAAACTGTTGAGGTGTGTACAGAAAAAAATGTTGACAATGTATTTAGAAAAAGTTAAATGTATATAGCAGAAATATTGACCATGTATTCAAAAAGTGACCTTTAAGGTGACGGAGTGAAAGCTCGACCGTTGTTATACAGAGGCGACCCTAGGTCTTCTGTCCTTTGAGTGGATTATTGTATTCCGAGTGAATGGTGACGGTCGAGTGGAACTAGGGTATCCAAATGGATCTTCCGTCGAGTGGATTGCACTTTGAGATGATTCCAGTGGGTATCTTCTTTCTATCTTCATAGGCCTTGACCTTGTGTATAGTATCCTTGGATAGGGTATATATGCTAGGCCCAAGACCGTACCCTAGATACATGTCATCGTCACACTCTGCAAAATTTCTTAAGGAAACAAGACAGAAGAGAAGTAGATCAAAAAGTGAACGGATATGCACCACTATTTGAGCAGTGGGAGACACGAGTTGGGAGCCCTCATGCAGCGGGCGGCAACGCGGCCGACAAGCATAGTTGCGTTGCTTGATTCGGCATCATATATGGCACAATGGTTCTACACCTGTTTTCCGAAGTTTTCAGAAGGTTTCTCCAGTTTTAATTTTTCATCTTGTATTTTTTATTGGTTTTCCTTTTCCTTTACCTTCTTTCTCTTTTTATTATTGATTTTTTTTTAAAATTCATCGATTCATGAACACTTCTTGAATTCATTTTTCAAAGTCATTTCTTTGTACAATTGGGGAGTGTTTTTCAAATATGTTAATATTTTACAAAATCCGTGCATGTTTTCAAATTCATGAAAATTTAAAAAAAATCTATGAACATATTTTAAATTCATGAAAACTTTTTACATCAATATTTTTCAAACATTAACTTTCCTTTCAAATTTATGAATAGTTTATAAAAAATTTAACATTTTTTATTTTTATTTTTTCAAATACATTTTTAAAGTAATGATATTTTTGAACATTTTTAAAAGTCAATAAAAAATGAAGCTGTTTCTTTCCCGAGGGGAGTGAATTGGGCGATGTCGTACTGGGGCGAGCTGGTTTTTATTTTCGTGCATTAACCTGGAACACCTACTTCTATTTGAGGGATCTGGGTTGCATACTTTTTATAGAACTAGAAATTAGTTGCGTGCAATGCACGTTAATAAGCAAGATATTATTTGTATCCCCAGCACATGCAGCAACATCAGGTACGACGACATATCTAATGAGTTTTTTGGGCTCCTGAATGCGATGGTTAGGAACGATGAGATTTTCTTTCTCTCTTGCTCCTGAATGCGACATCAGGTACAAAGAGAGATTTTCTTTATCTCTCTTCTGTCTGTTGGCGATCAAGGGCAAAACAGCGAGAGGGCTAGGAACCCTCGCTGAAGGGAGACCGACATGGGCCAGCCCAGGACGGCGGCAGGTCACAGCATTTGTTTTTACTTTTTAAATTTTGTCTATACTTTAAAAACACTATAAAAATTGGGGTATTTTGACCACGCATTTAAAAAAATATTAAATGTGTATAAAAATGTTTATAACATATACCAAAAAATTATAAATAATGTGTATGAAAATTTGATCATGTATTAAAAAATTGTTAATCAAGCATTTGAATTTTTATGAAAAAGTATTTTAAAATTGTTGATAAAGCATTTGTAAAATTTTAAATGTGTATAGAAAAAATGTATTAAAAAATGATGAATTATAGAGGTAGGGTGTGCGTTCGTACGTTCATAGGGGTGAGTGTACTCTAGTGTATTGAGTGACTTTAATTGTACTGTGCTAAACAATAGAGAATAAAATAAAAAGTAAAAGTAAATCTGAATAATTATTTTTTCTAAAAAAATTAGCGACATTGGTGTTACCCTTTACGATTTTATTTGCAAAAAACTAAAAGAAAATAAAGTACAATTTGCACACAGTTTACACTGAAGTTGCACTTTTATAATATGAAGGAATAATCAAATAATGGAGAAAATTTTACAAAAAAATTTCCTAAAAAGGAATCGGTTAGTGCAATTGATATTACTCTTAAACAAGAAAGAAAATGAAAATAAACTCTAAAATAAGTGAATTAGTGGTATTTGTGTTACACTTTTAAAAGGAAGAAAATAACTAAGATTATAAAAAACTCACATAATTTACACCGAGATTATACTTTTTTTATAACTTTCAAGAATGCGCACATAATAGTAGTTCTTTTTGAAATAAATACATTTACTAAGAAAAATGAATTAGTGAAATTGGTATTGCCTTAAAGCAGAAATAAAATAAAATAAAAAGTAAAAAAATCAAAATAGTGAAGTTTGCTAAGGGAGAATGAATTAGTGCTATTGTTAATACCTTTAAGAAGAAAGTAAATTAAACTTTTAAAAGTAATAATGACAAAATTTTCTCACAACATACAAATTAAACATTTAAAATATGCAATAAGTGGGATTTTCATTAAAAAATGAGCTTAATAAGAAGGAGTTAATTGGTGGAATTGATATTAACCTTAAATAAGATAATTTAGATATACGAATGAAAAAATTGTGCACA